TGATTTTACCAGTCATCTGATGGTCAAGAATGGTAACAAGACAGAGAAATGTTACATCTGCCTGTTCACTTATAGCACCACCCGCGATATCAATTTGGAGATTGTTGATGACATGACGAGCGATCATTTCCTTCTTGCATTCAGGCATCACTGTGCTGTCGATGGAACTCCTTCACTGATCCTGTGTGCTAATGCCAAAACATTTCAGAAAGGGGATGAAGAAATTCAGAAGTTGTTTCAAGTCATAGAAGACCAAACAGTGCAGCATCACCTTGCCCAGAAGAGAGTTCAGATGAGGCACATTCCTGCCAAGTCACCGCACTGGGGAGGCGACTGATTGGAGTAGTTAAGATGTCAATCAAGAAAGTTCTTCGTCACGCTCTCATCAGTCTGCGCAAGTTACACTCTCATCAAAGAGGTTCAGGCAGTCGTGAATGATCGTCCAATCACATTCGTTTACCATGATGTGAATGATCCAGAACCCTTGACACCGTTAAAGTTGATGTATGGTTTCAATGTTGCTGCTTTGTCACACCCTGATGTTGATCCTGATGAGTTGGAGGATGAAGACTTCAATGAACATGATCAACTCATTAATGCCTTGAAATGACGCTTGTTGCTGTTTCAGCACTTTGTCCAACAGTTCAATAGTGAGTACCTTGCTTCGCTGCGGGAGCATCATGTGTGTCAGTCTAAGAAGCGAGGATCCCGGGAGGAGATTAAAGTTGGGGATGTTGTACTTATGTGTGCTGAAAATGTTCCTCGAAGCTCCTGGAAGTTAGCCATTGTGAAGAAAGTTCTCTGTGGTAGTGATGGCTTAGTTAGAGCTGCAGAGATAAAAACACACTCTGGATTCACCAACTGTTCAATACATCTCTTGTATCCCTTGGAGGTTACACTGACGGATCCTGAGGAACACTTTACAGGAACTAAACTGCAGATTCCACAGGGCGAAACACTCAGAAGAAGCAAACAAATTGCTTCACGCCCCCACCCTCAGTATGTGGAATCTGGTGACTAGCAACCTAGCCTCACCACAATACTATTAACCTGCGGTGCACGTTCGGCGTATGCGTGGAGAAAACAGAAAAACATGCTCAACTGCATGAGAGACCGCCATGTGGGAACTTTGTACTCGTTGTGTACTCGTTGCGTTGTTATTACCGGTAAGTGTTGTCACTGCATTCTATTCCGTCAGAAGTTTCTGATACTGTATTAAATTCAGTCTTGTGGTTTACGCATTTGTAATGAAAGCCACTCTATCTCAAAAGTCCCTTTCTTTTCTCCATTGGCTTACTCCTATTCTCTCTCCTCATTTAGAGAGGGCACTGGTATTGACCTACTGGAAGGGTTTGATGATACCTCTGCAGAAAGTGTAAATAGCAGGATTGCAGTTGTTGAGCCAAGTGGATCTGTTCTAGTTCCGTTGGTGGTGGTGATGTTGTCCAAAGTGGAATACCATGACTCCAAGAAAAGCCTCTTGTGGAATTTTGTAACAGCGCATTCAAGGATCTGAGCATCTCTTGGGTGGATGCTGTGATCCGTGGACTCAGCATGCTGGTCAATGGCATGGTCCACAGCATACTCAGCACCTTCATCATACATGCAAGGTGATGATTGGTCATATCTTTGCTACAATATGATAAATTTACTGTGTCCCTTTCACCGCATTGATCACCCTGTTAGGCTGAATCCAGTTTTTTGGTTGGATTTAATCTGGTGGCAGGAGCTTTCTGAAATGTGGGATGGACGTAGTTTTGTCCTTATGCTGATATGGGTCCCCAAATTAGATTTTCAAGACTTGCAAGACCCGCAGGCTCTTTATACTATGGAGCCATCTTCAATAGCCACTGGTTTTCTGGTGCCTAGTCTAACTTACAGCACTTGCTAGTATGTATTAGGGTTTATCTCACAGTCAAAGAAGTTTGTCCATTGTGGCAGGAGCTTCACAAAATGTGGGATGGATCTAGCTTTGTCCTTATGCTGATATGGGCCCCCAAATTAGATTTTCAAGTCTTGCAAGACCCGCAGGCTCTTTATACTATGGAGCCATCTTCAATAGCCACTGGTTTTCTGGTGCCTAGTCTAACTTACAGCACTTGTTAGTAAGTGTTAGGGTTTATCTCACAGTCAAAGAACGTTTTCCATTGTCTTCGCAGCCTATATATGGGATCCTCAGTGGGCTTTGAGGCAGGTCCAGTTCTTATGTGACAAAGAGTCATTGGTTACTGGATGTACATTACCTGTACTTGCTGGCTTTGTGCCTGCACTCATTATTTTACTTTTTCTGCCTTATCAGTCCAAGTTGAATTGAATCCTGCTGTGAATGCTACTTCTTGTTTTTAGTTTGCATGCTACAGGGAGTTACAGTTAAGATGTCACATATATGAATTGTCCTAGTTGCTTTAAACTGTGCTTTAGTTTTTGTATCAATAAAGGGAGTCCACAGCATTTAAACTTATAGCCTGCAGAACACAAGGCCTCAAGGCCAGAGCTCTATTTTGCTGGAGTTATACCAGTTGGTTTTTCTGACCATAGTGCCATTTTCAGGATAAGAAGGCTTCACAGGATAAAGTGCCCTCCACCAAAAATTATTAAAACGAGAAATTATAAACATTACAATCCTGCATTGTTCTGTGAAGAACTAGAACACATCCCTGGGAAATCATCGAACTCAAAGACCTATTCCTAGTGCTGACAAACACGCACCTATTGTTATGCGTTGAGTACATGGATATTCAGTGCCATGGTTAACAAGCGATCTAAAAAAGCTCATGCAAGAACGCAATTATCACCACCAAAAGACTTTAATTACAAACAAAGAACTACATTGGAGTAATTATAAGCTGTTACACAATACTATCAACACAAGAATGCGTAAAGAGAAAAGTGATTACTATCCTAATCAGCTGGCACATGAAAAAGTGATCTGCAAACATTATATAAAATTGTTCTGAAAAAAATTAAATCAGTGCCTCAAGCAGTAATGGTCTAACAGCCTCAAGTTTCAACTGCTTCTTTACCTCCATTGCTCATACCTTGTGCAGCCATTTTAGACGTTGTTCTCTACCAAAGATTTTAACACCTAGAGTTAAACATGACTTTGTCCTCGAAGAGGTGTCCTCCAGTTTTGCACAAAAAGAATTGCTCAAAATGAAGTCAACTAAAGCCACTAGTCTCCATGGAATTCCTGCTCTGTTATGGGATGCCGCAACGATACTTTATAAATTCATCAATTTCTACCTGTATAAATACCATTTGAAAGGAAAAGTGCTAAGGTAACTCCAATTTACAAATCTGGAGATAAGAGCGACCCAAATAACCATCGCCTAATCTCAGTTCTTTCCTTAATTTCTAAAATAATGGAACATGCAATTCAATCGCAGCTTGTGGCTTTTCTTACAAAAAACAGTTTCTTGTCAGTACATCAATCAGGATTCTACAGGAAACACTCCACTGAAACTGCTACTGTACACTTTGTTGACCACATCTTAGAACAAATGGATAAACAGAGGATAACTGGATCCACTTTTATAGATCTAAAAAAAGAATTTGACCTAGTGGACCACCACTGTCTGCTGTATACACTAGAACATTATGGAATTAGAGAGAAAAGTCTGAAATGGTTTGAAGATTATCTTACTACTCAAACATAGAAAGTCATATACAACCAAGAAGTGTCATCCAGTTTAACTATCAGCTATGGAGTCCCCCTAAGGATCTACATTGGGCCCAATTTTGTTTGTGGTATACATCAACAAGCTCCCTCAAAGTCTGCTAAAGTCATCAATTGGCATGTACGCTCAGACAATACGTCTATCTACTATTCTGATTCCAGCACAGATATCATCAAGCAGGTTCGACAAAATGATCTAAACAAAATCGAAAAATGGTTAGCAAGCAACAGGCTCATACTCAATCAAAATAAGCCTAAACGGATGCTGTTTGCTACAAGGCAAAAACTGAACATTGTCCAGACCATGGAGTACAACTCCATGGGAAAGAAATTGAAAGAGTATCAAGAATTGGTTACTTAGGGGTTACATTAGATGAGAATCTCTCAGGGAACAAGCATGTAGAATTGATTTGTAACAAAGTGAGCAAGCATCTCAGCCTGCATATGACCTTTCCTCACCCTAAAAGCTGCTAAATGAGTGTATAAATGTTTAACACAGCCGATGTTTGATTACACTGATACAGTATGGGGTGGGCTGTCAATTGGATGCAGTAAAAGCTTGCAACGTCTACAAAATACGGCAACACACATAATACAAAGGAGGGCAATGACCGAAGAAGCTTTCAAAATGTTAGGGTGGGTTGATTTGGAAACACAAAGGAAAGCCCACAAATGCATCTTAGATTTTAAATGTCTAAATGACTTAGTTCCTCCATATTTATCACATTATTTTATTAGAAATTGCACTATTCACACTTACAAGACAAGACAAAGGAATGACATTCACCTACCGAACACTAAGTTAATGCTAGGGAAAAACACATTAATTTTAGATTTTCAGGTGTGGTTCATTTTAATGATATACCTGCATCAGTAAAAGAAGCCACATCACTTTACATTTTTAAGAACTCTCTTAGTTTTCATTTTAGCCATTAGTTTTCTGCTAATATAATACTTAACTCCTTGTACATAACGTTGTGGTACTTTTTAAATTCTGAATTTTTTATCATGTAATTTTACACAGGGCCCCTTTTGATACCAGAAAATGGCTGATGGGGCTGATGGGGCAAAACAAAGATGACTTGACTTGACTTGACTTGTCACAGTCACCCAGATAATACAGACACTTAAACATGTCCCTTTGACACTTGAAACAAGTCCCTTTGGTACCTAGATTAACTGGTTTCCACTGTAAGAAGATTGACTAGTAATCACTTACCTGAGAAGAGAGAACAGCTTTGCAATCATGCATAAGGCATATGTAACATCAGAAGATTATTAACTACATGTATCTGAACACATAACTTTAAAAAGAGCAACCTACCATACACTGAAAACTTTCAAAAGGTATAAGGGAAATTTCCATTTGCAAAGAACATGATAATTCTGCACAAGGATCTGATCCTGAACATGATTTACCCTGAAAAAAATATTAGTATTTGAATATCTTAATAGTACTAGTCATATTTAAAATACTTATTCATACAGAGAAACATTTTTTTTTTAATATATCTAGTATATTTTGGTAGATCACACCAGTGTTCAGAACATTAGCTTTGTTCTGAAGACGACTGGTGAGACAGCCATCACTCTTTGTCGCACATCTGGCTTTGCTTGGGGAAAAAAATTTCTTTTGTATTTAGGTTAAACCAGCTTCAGACATCTTTATAATGCAATATTATTGCTTTCAAGGCACAAGGCGGCCATCTAATCATGAAATAAAGACACTCTGGTTTCTAGATGTCAACTAGCAATGGGAATTGGTTAGTGATTTTTACTCTCCAAAGGAAAAGATAAAATTATGTTAAGTTATTATTTGCATGAATTATCCTGCATGTCAACTCCACCATGGATGGTCCTAAGCCCGACTGAGAAAGGAGGAAGGTTGGGCGTGGGGTTAGCAACCCTACCTCATAAAAACTATGTCACTACAGAAACACCACTGATTAGTCAACAAACTCCACAAGTCCTTGGAGAAAAAGGGCTTTCCTCATGAAGGTGATTGACAGGTTGCAGGGAGAGCCAAAAGAAAGCTGCAATCCTCACTACCCTTCTGTCGACCAGGAAAACCTTAAACATTGGAACATGGAACATCAAAACAATGTTTAGGTCAGGGAAGACAACCCAGATTACAACTTTGTGGTGCTAGGACTTTGCGAGACCAAGTGGAGGCAGTCAGGGCTTCAGTCGAGAAGGAATGCAACAAGCCACGAAAGAAGAAGAGCATGACATAATGTGGATTTCTTCAGGAATGTGAGTACAGCAGACAAATTCAGAGTGGCACTGTCCAACAGATACAAATTCTTACAGGAGTTGCACAATGACAATGAGGGAGTGGACATCAATTCTCATTGGAAGGATATAAAGGGAGCAGTTAACTATGCTTGCAAAGAAGTGGTTGGTCAAAGAATGCCTGGTCAAAAGGAATGGATTTCCGTAGAGACATAGCGGAAGATACAGGAGAGGAAAGAGGAAAGTTAAGGCAATTGTCACCTCCGAGAAAGGGCAGCAAAGAAGGAAGCACAGGAACAATATACTGAAGCAAACGCTGAAGTAAAGGCTGAAGTAAAGAGAAACATCAGAACAAATAAGAGGAATGGCCCAGGAAGCAGAGGAGGCAGCAGCAAGAGGGACATGAAACAGCTTTATGACATAACAAAGAAGCTTACAGAAAAGTTTGGATAAACAGAACATCCAGTCAAAGATAAGAATGGAAGTGTCTTGATGTGTGCAGATAAGCATCTAAGTAGCTGGGCAGAACACTTTGAAGAGCTTCTTAACAGACTAACTCCAGCAAATACACCAGACATCTTTGTAGCAGATGAAGACCTACCAATTGATTGTGGCAAGCCCACCAAGGCAGAAATCAGGAAGGCCATCAAACAGCTGAAGAATAGCAAGGCAGCAGGCATACATGAGATTCAAGCAAAGGTTCTCAAAGTAGACCCAGAGATTCTAGCTGAGGTGCTTTATGGATTGTTCGAGAAAATCTGGGAAGATCTGCTTCGACATTATGGGGTACCCATGAAGTTCGTAAACCTGATTCAGAACGTGTCTTGCTGAAAGTGGTTCATGAAGGGCAGTTGCAAGAGAAGTTTGAGGTAAGGACTGGGGTGAGGCAAGGATGCCTGCTGTCACCCTTCCTGTTACTCTTGGCTATAGCCTGGATCATGATCTCTGTCACAAATCAAAAAATAAATGAGACCCAGTGGACCTTGTGGTACCGGTTGGATGACCTGGACTTTGCAGACAATCTAGCGCTCCTGTCACACAACTATCAGCAGATGCAGGAAAAAACATCTGACCTGCATCATGCCTCAGTGCCAGAGGGACTGAAACTCAATAAACAGAAGACAAAGATCCTGAGAATCATGCAGGCGCACCAGGAGGAACTGGAGGAAGTTGAGTCTTTCACCCATTTGGGCAGTGTAGTGGACAAACAGGGAGGAACAGACACTGATATGAAAACTAGGATTGGCAAGGCACAAGCAGCATTCAATACGCTGAAAAATGTATGGAGCTTTGGAGAAATCGGCACACCTACCAACAGTGGTACTTCCTCTTTCTTAAGAGTTATTATTTGTCTTCTTGTACACAGATTCAAAATATTTTTTTTTTCAGTAAATTAATTTAATTTATTTAACTATAAATTCCAACCAGTTGAAACTCCAGACTCTTTATTTTCTCTTACAACATTTATGACCTGTTTGGTTTTCTAAACTTGGTTACATAACTTTCCTGTCGTCAGTGAAAGTACAAAGTGTAGGAATGTGAGTTAAGTTAACTTTATCTATGCTACAGATGAGAAATTATGAAAAAAATTGTCCAGATTTACATTCATATAAGAGGATCATTATTACATTACATGAAAGATATTAACAAATTGTAATGTAAGATATTAAAAATTGTAAATAATGTTAGTATTGTAAGTTTTGTTAGTATCGTTAAATTGTAAGTTATGTTGACATTGTAAGTAGTAGGTAATTTTTGTATGTAATGTAATGTAAGATATTGCAATAATAATGATAATAATAATAATAATAATAATAATAATAATAATAATAATAAAAAGAGTATCATTATTTGAAGAAGCTAGTCATAAAAGGGGATAAGTGACAATTTTGGTTGTTTTCTTTTTTGCTCCAAATTAGCTGAATTTTTGCATTTGGTCTCCAATGTAATAGAAAAACGTGGTCCTGTATTTTTGTCACTGGTTTTCGCTTTGTTTTTGATTAAAAACGTATGCAAAAAACTTGGCTTTTCCTAGCCATGTCTTTAGGAGTTTATTTGTTGAACAGCAAACAGNTTCATTTAACTTGTTTATTTCGAATACTTTTGTTATTCACATTTTACTTCCTTTATTGCATTGTCTCTATTAATTGATGTGTCTTGTCTTTTATTTTTGAACGTGTCAGTGACCAACATGATAGCATATGCTTCTTTGGTCACTGAGCACATTTTGTTTTGGTTTTATTATTATATTTTCGTTATTTTAATTAATGAATTTTTTGTAATAGTGTGTGATAGTGAAATATGTCTGTAAATAGTGTCAATTAATAAAAAATCTGAATCTGAATCACACGACAGCAGGCCCCAAACTGACCAAAAATGGTGAATCACTAAGGTTTTAGAACAAACCATGCACTTTGTAGTCAGATGACTTTTACAAACACAAGTACATGCCAAGCAAACTCCTGACCTCAGTGGAGAGTGAGAACGAAAAACCCGTCCAGCATCCAAAATGTCCATGATAGATAGCATGGCCAGAAAAACAAGTCACCTGGTGAGCACATTGAGTGATATCAAGCAGAAAACATTTAAGCCCGAAGTAATCATCAATCAATCAGCAGTTTCAACCAAACTGTGATGAATCAGTAGGTGCATTTCCTCACATTTAATTCATTATTACAAGGTGGCACAGTGGTAAGGATTCAGTCAGGGAATCAGAACTCGGATTGAAAGGTCCATGGTTCCAATCCTCATGTAGGCAATTTTTTTTTCTTTTCTTCTCTGAGCTACTAAGAGATGGTTTGCGTTTATAAAGGAAAATAGAAATGTTCAAGCAATAAAAGTAAAATTATTATATAAAAAAAAAATGAAACTATATGGAAATTTGAAATAATTCTTCACGAAAGAAAAACACTTTGAGTGAAACCCTTGCACGTGATTTTTGGCAAAGTTTTGGTTAAAAGCCACTGTCAAAGCTATCGATGGATCTAATTATACAACCACCTTTGTTGCATAGCAAATAGTCTTTAATTTGGGAGCTTTTGTTTAACTCCAAACGCAAAAGATCAGTTTTTCGGTTTGGTAGCCATTTTGTTCACAATGGTTGGTGAAATACTCACGAAATACCCTGGTCAGCAGAATTACCACCAAAAAATTGTTTATGACCTATCGGCCTAAACAAGAAACAAACAAGACTGACTGACTGGCCGAGCAAGTGAATTATTAACTCATTCTAGCTATGCTACGCTAGCTATCACTCATTAAAAAACACAAAATATTGATCACATAATTAATCCAGCACCTTCTCTTTGAAACAAAACAACTTAATTGCTGTTTTTCTTTAAATTCATTAACAGATCTAGTATCAGTTTTAGTACTGGATAAAAATTTGTCCTACTCTGTAGCCTGTTCCAGGCTTTTGCTTAGACGGGGCACATCAAAAAGGACAAGAGGTAAACAGAGAAGTTAACAACTTAATTGCTGTTTTTCTTTAAATCAATTAACAGATCTAGTGTCAGTTTTAGCACTGGATAAAAATTTGTCCTACTCTGTAGCCTGTTCCAGGCTTTTGCTTAGACGGGGAGCATCAAAAAGCACAAGAGGTAAACAAAGAGGAGTTAGCATTTTTAACAAAACTTTTTAATTGTATACTATGATTGGTCAACTTCAACAGTTTTTGTCACACTTAAGTGCTGTTGATGTAGATTACGTATTTCATGAAGGTAGGGGTAGGCAGACCTTATTCATCCATTATCTTATCTTTTTCAATCTATTATCTGTTGTTACCGGTAACATTTTGCTTGATGACGAGTCAGGTACTGCAACACTAGATGGCATAGATACAAGCTGAATACAATGAATTCTGTGAGCCCATTGATCAATAGTAGACAAAAGCAATAAATTTAACTTACTAATCATTCTCAGGTTTGGAATAAAACTGCACTCCATCAGGAAAACTGCACTTGGTAATTGAACCAGAAGGTTGGCTACTAAGTAGAACCTCTATACTGGAAACCTGAATGCCTATGTACTGTCAAAAAATTTCAAACATACAATATTATGCACATTATACATTCAAATACTTACAAGTTATCACTTGGGAAGAGTGGAGGTTATAAACCATGTTCGATTTTTTTAACACTAATCATCATGCAATGTGATAATGACTTGCCATAGGACTATGAAAAAAAAGGCAACTCATTAATGTTGCACAATGCAGGATGGGGGATTATCTAAATTTTACTGAGTGTATGACCGTTCTGAACACATTACACTATCATTTTTTGATTTCTTGTTGGCATGTAGACAGATTGTGGCCCAGAGGTTACCCCACCAGTGGTCTTAGCTTCAAATCCTCCACTCTGACCCCTAGCAAGACCTGCTCTCTATATTCACCCTGAGTTCAACTCCAGTGGGGCTAGGCAAGGTGGTCTATCTCAATGCTTGCTTGCATTTCTAAATTGTTCATTTATTTTATCTAAATTTAACCTAGTAGGCAGTAGAAGACATTTCCCCCACGCTTCCTTACCAGCTAAGTCTGTTTAGGCCTGTCACCAAATTCTACAGTCTATCTAGTAAGAAAACTTTATAGTTGCTAGCAGGTTAGATTATATCTTGATCACATTTATTAACTACATGTAATTTGTATGAGATGTTGCTAGCAATCTAAATCTTCATCCTTTTCCTTTTTGCTGACTTCCATGTAATATACTAATTATGATTATCTACTGAATACAAATAGTATCAAATTCCTAAATTCTCTGTTCTCAAACTTGAACTGTGTGTTTGTATCTCAAAGTTATATCTTGTCTGCCACTATTTTGCAAATTTGGAAATATTATTATCTAGTGAATGTAAAGAGCAATTATTAATAAACACGACAAACCTGGCAGCATTTTCTTAGAAGCCTTGTTATTGTTTGCTTATGCACTGCAACTGAAAGGAAACAACTTTATTTTTATATGCGTGCACATATTATAAATTTATAGTAAGGTGCTGTAGTTTCAGGTGAGAAAAGTTTTATATGAAAACAATTTAACAACAGAAACAAAAGGGTCTCTAAATTCCTGGTAATTTCTTAACTACATACATGTAGATTCCTGGGAAATACTTGCTCTTTGTAATTCCCTGTTACACCCAATGGATTAATAACTTACTTTTGTTTACAAGAACTTTCCAAAGGAGTCTGAATTTTGTTACTGATAACAATTTAACATTGAGTCAGCTGGGAGATTGCTTTTCCATTAACACTCAGTGAATTTAACACACTTTTATTAATAGTAAAATTATCTATTTACAGTAGAACCCCATCTTACAGCCACCCTGTTGATATGGCTACCTCATTATTACAGCCTCTTTATTCTGGCCCAAACAAAAGCTCAGTCAGTCATTTTCTTATTTAATATAGAACCCCTTTAATATGGCCATCCCGTTAATATGGCTTGATTTTTCTGGCCTGTTGGTGAGCAGAGTAATGGGGTTCCACAGTATTTACCTGCATGGAAGTCAACAAACTATCTTCATTAGCACATTTTTTTTCAAACAAAAGCATACAATATAGTTTAATCAAAAATTACCAAGAAATCTACAAAACTGCAACACTCACTGAATTTGCTTGATGATCTAGAGCTTGTTGATGGATCCCGATGCTGGTGAAGATTGGTGTTGACATTTCCCTTCTTAACTTCTATCACAACACTTCTAAATACCACCGTAAACAGCCTCCTGCAAGTCAAGGGAATAAAGCTGAACTTGACTTGAAAAGTGGCCATTGCAGGGAAGTGGGTTGTAACATTATGACATATACAGTTACACACATTAATTGGGGTGTTAGAAGACAATTGCTCAGGTAGCAGATAAACTGTGGGGGGGGGCTGGACAAGCAGAGTCTCTTGTTGTCACTTGACTTTAAGACAGTCTGATGTGTGACATTTCCTGGAGGTTATACTAGTGCTTTAAGTAGAGCTGCCTTCCAGCTAATCGGCAGATTTGCCTGTTACACGTGTATGAGGCACAATTTTTCATTGGATATTTAACAAAACTTGAATATGTTTACTTGCATGTACATGAGGATTCAATCTGTGATCACTACCTCAAAAGACCTGTTACAGACCCTTCCACTTAAGGGGGTAGGATACCCTCAAATGGACCAAAAAGTTTGTTTAAATATGGTGAAGAAAGATCAATTGTGTGCTATTGCGCTCAAGAAGAGAAATTAAATTTCTAGAGTTTTACTCAAAAGGGTTGCTATGGAAACCAGCCACAGCCTTTTGGGGTAGTGTTTTATAGTATTAACGCCAACACTTCCTGCTCTTTTACAAAACAAGATTTGACTGTCAAATGAGCATATCGTGTAAGTTTCTGTTTTGTTCTGTGCAATGAACCTAAGTTTTGACAGTTAACTCTTATCTTC